CTGCCACGTGGAGTCAGAGGTGCCAACAGGCCTGGAGAAGGCACGCGGCCCAGCAACACCGCACTCTGTGCACAAAACTGGCATAAAGCGTGGGCTTGTTCGTTTATTCAGTAACTCATTCACTCACTCAACAATGACTTCCCGACTGGTGGCCCACGTTCCAGTATCAGGCTGCGGGGGTCCTGTAATTTTGACCTGCTGTGTGACCCTGGGAGTTTACTTAACCTCTCTGTGCCTCAGCGTCTTCGTGTGTGAGTGGGATTGATGAGAGTCCCTAGTGATGGCTGTGGGATCATTACATGGCGGATCCCTGTGCAGCGTGCAGCACGTGGTCGGTGCCCTGCTGAGTCTGCTACAGTGCTTGCTACTGTCCCTGTTGGTGGTGTTACGGCTGTCCCTAGGTGGGGGCCACTCTATCAGGTGCCGGGCATGCAGGGGCCGGCGCCAGGCTCCACCGATGTCCTCGTGGAGTCTGTGGCTTGTGCTGTACCCGTTGACACGGTCCTGCGATGTCATTTGATGCATGGCACTTACTGCCTTCCGTGCATTTTGATTGACAGCGGAAGCACACACACCTTTGGGGGCCCTCCCATGCCTGGCAGAGACGTGCACACACGTGTGTCATACCCAGCCCCTGCCCTAGCTATGTGGTCCCCTTCACCAGGCTGTGAGCTCCTCAAAGTCCAAGGCATCGGCTCTCCTGGGCCCTGGCAGCCCCGTGTGGAGATGGATGGCAGTGGGACCTGGACAGCCACCCTCTTAGGGCTCGTTCTAACGACGAAGGCCCATGCTGCTCAGACCTGGCCCAAACACGGGCCTGCATTTTCTGAGAGGTTAGCCGTGGGGTGGCAGTTTGCCCTTGACTACCCGCGGAGACAGGCAGTGTGGACCCACCCAGAGGTGCCTTGGAGAATAGCGTGCTGATCTGCTTCTGGGATGTCACAGCTTTGAATCCTACAGAACCTCACACAGTGCCACCGGGAGTCCGGACCAAGGGGACAGCAACTAACAGGCACCCAGGTGGGGGCTGCGATGCCCAGCTGCTCCCTGGACCCCTGGAGGAGAGGGGTCCCGGAGCACTGTGGGCCTTGGCAGCCGTCTCACTTTGAGGCTCCGTGCCCCCAAACCGCCCTTACTTCCATGTGACTGAGGACAGACTGCAGCTCCAAGTCCGTTTAGAAGGCCACTGCCGCTGCTTTCGCTGGCCACTGTTGGCCCAGTCCACATGCAGCCGGCCCCACCACACGTTCGGGTCCCCAGCATCTGTCCCCAAGACCACTGTCGTTCTGGCTGGGTGTGCACCGGCACATGCTCAGGGCTGAACGACAGCGAGGCCTGGGCTGCGAGCCCATCGCAGGGAAGCTTGCCCTTCCTCGGGGCTGGGTTTACCCCACACACTGCAGGGGCAGGGCTGGGTTCACCCCCCACACCTGCAAGGGGCGGGGCTGGGTTCACCCCCCACACCTGCAAGGGGCGGGGCTGGGTTCACCCCACACACCTGCAGGGGCGGGGCTGGGTTCACCCCACACACCTGCAGGGGGCGGGGCTGCAATGACCCCAGCCAGGCCTGCCTTTGAGGCGCCCCGGGGCCAGCTCCCTGGGTCTTTCAGCTCTGTCCCAAGCACAACGTTTGTTTTCCTTACCAGTCACAGAGAGGAAATGTTACACATGCAGACATGAGTGTCCTGAGATTGCCTTTTGGAGGGTGGGCTAAACACACTAGCTTCCATTTGCGGCTTCTACTACAGGCACATAGGAGCTCTGGTAGCGTAGTGCCTAAGGCACTTGACTGCTAACCAGAAGGCTGGCGGTTCAAACCCACCAGCCACTCCTCATAAGGAAGGTTGGGCAATCTACTTCCGTAGTGATACTGCCTCGGAAACCCAAGGAGGGGTTGCTATGAGTCAGGTCTGACTCGACGGCACATAACAACAACAACTATAGGCACATACGCTGTGGGAAGAGCCCTGTGTCTGAGGTGCATCCTCACAGCCACCCCTGTGTCAACATGTGGGTGCCCTTGTTTCCCACACTTAATTCCCAAAACCCTCTCTAGAGAGCAGGTTGTGCTGCCCTCACACTCCCGGCCATCTTTACCCAAACCAAACCACACCCACTGCCTGGAGTCCATTCTGACCCACAGCGCCCCTAGAGGACAGAGTGGAACTGCCCACAGGGTCTCCAAGGCTGTCAGTCTTCACAGAAGCAAAGCCCAAACCACACCCACTGCCATGAAGTCGATTTTGAGTCACAGCGCCCTTAGAGGACAGAGTGGAACTGCCCCCCAGGGTTTCCCAGGCTGGCTGTCATCTTTATGGAAGCAACTGCCTCATCTTTTTCCTGCAAACAGGAAGGTTGAACATCCAACCTTGTGGTTAGCAGCCTGGGATGTAAGCACTGTGCCAGCAGGCTCCTTAAAACCAAAACCAAACCCAACTCACTGCCATCGAGTCGATTCCAACTCATAGCGACCCCCACTGAGTTTCGGAAATAGCTTGGCTCATCTTCCTCCCGTGGAGCAGCTGGTAGGTTCGAACTGCCTACCTTTTGGTTAGCAGCCAAATGCCTTAACCACAGTGCCATCAGAGCACCTTTGTACATTATTAGGAACTGCCTGATATATGCTTGAAGCGGCTAAGAGCCGCTTGTTCACGGGAAGCTGGTTGATCCTACACACTTCCCAGGGCTGGGAGGTCACATCCCTTTGTTCACAGCCGGAGCCGTCTTCTAATCAGACAAGCCTGGGCCCACCTCCTTTCTTGACAGCTACTAAGCTTGAATGCCAACCTGAAGATTGACAGCTCTGACTCCCCAGGGATGCCACGGAAGAAAGGCCTGGCTACCCACCTCCATAAAGATTCAGCCAGAAAAACAAAAGTCATCACTGTCAGGTGATTCTGACTCACAACAAGGCCATGGCAGAGTACAACTGCCCCATACGGCTTCCAGGGGTAAGATCTTCAAAGAAGCAGACTGCCATGGTTTTCTTCTACTGAACGGCTGGGGGATTCCAACAGCTCTTTGTGGTTAGCAGCCAAGGGCTTAACCATTGAGCAACCAGGCTCCTTCTAGAAGATTACAGCCCATAAGAGCCTATGGAGCAGTTCCACTCGGTAACACATGCGGGCGCCAGGGGTCAGAATCGGCTCTGCCAGGACGGATTTGTTTGCTCACCAAACCCCAACATTAAGTACAGAAAAGCACCAGCCTCACCAAGTGCCGCAGCTGATGGCCTTCTCCTTAAGGACTCACACATGGACACCTGTCCTGTCCAGATGTGCAATCTGCTTGGTAAACGAGGTCCCACGGCCTGGAGTGGCTGTGAAGCCAGCTCACACTGGACCCCTGGGGAGAGCCCCGCCAGTCATCTGCACACATGAATTTGCTTCTCTTAAATGGCCAGTTGCGATCGTGAAAGATACTGAAAACCAGCCCACCCCACCGGATGGCGCCCCCAGGGGTCCAGGGTACAACTGCTCCTTAGGCCTTTCAGTGGCGGAGTTTGCGAAAGGTGATTCCAGGCTTTTCTTTGGAGGCACCCGGAACCTCCAAATTTTTGTTAGCAGATGACCGTGGTAACCTTTCACACCACCCAGGGACCCCCCAGAGACATCACAGGGAGCTGTCAAGGTTCTCAGGCACCCCGCCTAGACGAGGCTGCCCTTGGGGAACTTTGCCTACAATCAAGCCTCCTCCCGGTCCCACTGCCACTCCTGTCACCTTCACCATGTCCTGCATGCCATCCTCAGGAACTCACACTGGAAACGGAATCTGTATGCCGATCTCGGACTCCGATTGTCTGCGATGTCACAGTAACAGTGAGGTGCACGGAGAGGCACCCTCCAAACTGCCTTGAGCAGCAAAGGGAGGGAGATTGTCCTTCTCCACTGCACACACGCAGAACGGAGCGCTCACGACACACAGGGACTAGCAGCAAACTAAAGAACATATTTTATTTTTAATAAAATAGTGGAGCATGAAAAATATATTACAGACACCCATGAGCCGGGCCCAGGCCTTGTGGCCAGGAAGCCAGAACCCAGCGGACTCAGTCTGTCTTCCACTCTAGTGCTTTGGGTCTGTTCAGGGAAATCATTTGCTTAATAATAGAGAGTCAATAAGCCCTCTGGGTCCTTTGAATGATCCTTCTCCCCCTTTCCCCTGGTCCTTTCCACAAATCAGTCCAAATGTGTGTAACATTGGCTTGGTTTCCAATAAAGAACCACCACAAAATGTAACACTATAGGGTCCCGAGGGCCGGGCCTCTTAGTCCTTTTGTCAGGACGTCCCTTTTGTTGTCTTGAAGCAAAACACTTCGCTTTTATTTTCGTGGAGGGGAGAGGGGGTATTGCACGTTGTTGGGACTCGAACGCTCGGGTCGGGGGACATGGCTACGTTTCAGGCAGACCCGTTCTGAAGGCTGCAGCCTGGAGCCTGTTGTCGGTCACCCCAAATGTGCTAGCATGTGGTGCGTGTCATCGCTTCCCTGCCATTCAGGTCGCACAGGAGTGGCCCTCAGCAGCAGCCTTTGGGGTGGGGGTGGGGCTGGGACGGCTCGCTGGCTGAAGAGGGAAGCCCATCAGAGGCCCTTTAACTTGCAAAGCAGTGACCTCTCCTGGCATTTGTAAACCGGCAGGAAGGCCAACTCAAACACACAGATGTGTATTTATGGAAAGTTCTAAACAAAAGTTTTCTTCTGAGGACTGAATCAACTACCACAAATTAGTTACACAAGAGGTTGCCGGAATGGCAAGACTGCCTTCAGTGAAGCCGAAGCAAAACCCAAGTCTTTAAGTCCCCTTATTTTTTTCAGTGTATCACAGCATCCTGAATTTCAGGGAGCAAACTCTGTGCTTTTCTCTTTTCCTTTTATAAAAAAAAAAAAAAAAAAAAAAACAACCCACATACACACACAAACCAACCAAGCAAGGGAAGCCCAGGTTTCACCTCTGGGGCCACTATACCCTCTGGGAACCTCCTCCAGCCTTCCTGCCTCCTGCTCACACACCAGTGGGGGGCGGCGCGGGGATTTCGTATTTCCCATGATGGGTTTTTTGGGGGTGCTGGGCTTTTTTGTAAATCCCACTGCTGGTGATCACGCTGGCGGGTTTCCGCCTGCTCCTCTTTTTGAAGCCACGGCTGCAAACGTTCTGCCAGGACTGCAGCGTCTTGGATGTCCAGATCCACACGCCGCTGGTGATGCCCACCACCAGCAGCATGAAAATCTTCACCATGAAGATTTCCACCGCCGGGATGGAGGCGGCCATCAGGCAGTCCACGTGCTTGCTCTGGTCGCTCACTTTGCACCTGTGCTGCGTGGCCAGCACTTTCCAGTAATCCATGTTGAGGCGCTCGTAAAAGTAGCAGGCGATCACACAGGTGGCCGGCACGGTGTACAGCACCGAGAAGACCCCGATGCGCACCATGAGCTTCTCCAGCTTGTCCGTGTTCTCGCCGCCCGTCTTCATCACCCTGCGGATGTGGAAGAGGGCCACGAAGCCCGACAGGATGAAGGAGGTCCCGAGGACCAGGTAGCAGGCCAGGGGGATGAGCACGAAGCCGGTGAGCGCGTTCACGTCCATGCTGCCCACGTAGCACACGCCGGTGAGCTCGTCCCCCGCCACCCTGCGCGTCACCAGGATCAGGATGGTCTTCACGGCGGGCACGGCCCAGGCCGCCAGGTGGAAGTAGCTGCTGTTGGCCTCGATGGCCTCGTGGCCCCACTTCTTGCCGGCCGCCAGGAACCAGGTGAGCGTGAGGATGACCCACCAGAGCGAGCTGGCCATGCCGAAGTAGTAGAGCACCAGGAAGACGAGCGTGCAGCCCGTGCTCTCCAAGCCCTCCTGGATGACGTACAGCTGCCCGCTGTCCCGGTCGCAGGCGATGCTCTCCGCGCCCGCGAAGAGGCGGATGATGTAACCCACTGAGTAGACACAGTAGCACATGGAGAGGAAGATGATGGGGCGCTCGGGGTACCTGAAGCGGTGCGGGTCGATGAGGAAGGTGAGCACGGTGAAGGCGCTGGAGAAGAAGCAGAGCGCGGACCACACGGCCAGCCAGACGGCGGCGAAGCGCTTGTCGGCGCGGCTCCAGTACACGTCGACTCCCGGCGTGCACAGCGGCGCGCACGACGCGCTCTTCTCCACGTGGTGGAACTTGCCCGGGTTGTCGCAGGCGGCGCGCGCCGCCGCGCCTTCCTTGGGCTGCGGGTCCTGCGAGCCGTGCGGCCGCTGCGGCCGGAAGAGCGGCGGGAAGAGGCCGGAGCCGCGCGCGGGCTCGTCCGAGCCGTTGTTGGGCGCCTCCATGCACAGGTAGTTGGGGTCGTTCTTGTTGGGGAGTTTGCTGCAGTCCAGCGAGTCGGGCCACCTGAAGTTGAACTGCTCCATGATCGGGGAGCACTTGAGCCGGGCCTGCTCGCACATGACGCGGCAGGCGGGGATGGGGGTGGAGACCTGCTCGGTGCACATGGGCGCGTACAGCGAGCAGAGGAAGAAGCGGAGGTGGCCGTGGCAGCCGTACTCCACCAGCGGCGCGAACTCGTGCAGCTGGATGGCGGCCTCGCGCTGGTTCTCGTGGTACATGAGGTTGGGCATCCGCGTCATGTTGTAGCCGATGTCCCGGCACATCGGGATCTCGATGGGCTGGCACTTGCCGTCGCCGGGGCGCTCCATGTCCATGGAGCTGATGGCGGCGCACGACCCCATCACCTGCAGCACCAGCCACAGGCGGGGGCCCGGGCGCTGCATGGTGGCGTCGC